TTCGAATAGAAGAGTGGTTCGATGGCCTCGTCGAAATGGGACAAGTGGAGAAACGATCATCTCGAACATCGATTGTGTGGGTTTGACAATGGACGAGAATGGATCTCTCTATGTCACTGACTTTGGAAAAGATGAAGTGAGACGATATCGAAGAGGAGAATCTCAAGGAACAGTGGTTGCAGGTGGCAATGGACGTGGAAATCGTCTCGATCAACTCTCTTTCCCACAATATGTATTCGTCGATCGAGATCATTCAGTGTACGTGTCTGAAAGGGGAAATGATCGTGTGATGAAATGGGTGGAAGGTGCAAAACAAGGCATTGTCGTGGCTGGTGGTCAAAGAGAAGGGAATGGTCTTACACAATTGTCATATCCTGAAGGAGTCGTTGTCGATCAATTGGGCACTGTCTATGTGGCTGATGATGAGAATGATCGAATCATGCGTTGGCCCAAAGGAGCCACACAGGGAAGTGTCATTGTTGGTGGAAACGGTAGAGGAGAACAATCTAACCAACTCAAAGAACCCATCGGTTTGTCATTCGATCGACACGGCAATCTCTATGTCGTTGATTGGGGAAATCATCGAGTACAAAAATTCAATGTCGATTCAACTGTAGAAAAATTGATCAGAGTTGCTCTTAATGCAATATGGTTTTTTTTCTTGAGAACGCTAAATATAATAAAGGAGTTCATTTCGATGAAAGAATGATCCAGTTTCTTGAAATAGTCGAACTGATTACTGTTGGAATTCTTTGAAACGAAATGTGAATAGTTGGGTATCCTTTACGATGCAGTTGTTCGTGTAAATTCAATTGCTAATTATTGCTTTCTGAATGATTGGTTCAACTATCGAAAACGCAGAGATGACCAATAGAAAATAATTGTGTTATTCAGCATTGAATTTTGATTATGAACTATTGAAAAGCGAAGAAAAGGAAAAGTTATTTTTCAAATCCAATCGAAAGAAAGAATCAAACGCATTTTGATTATGAGTGATATACAAATACTTTATCTTCAAGTTTTGTTGATTTGAAAATGTTTCCAATAAGATCGAACAAAAGTGTAGGAGACTATGTCATGTTTTTCTTGATTACACGATTCAATTCAAATGAGAATCCAATAATAATGAATCAGACATTGAGAATGTTTTGTGACATTGAATATGTGATAGGAAATTGTACAATTGAATTTCTTCGGATGATTCGTTACTATTTGCAAAAAACTTTTCCTCAATTTTCTGAAATATTCTTTCGACCTACCCCAAACACATCTTATAAAGAGTAAGATGGATACTAGCGGTAGTCGAAAATTTGAAATAGAAGGTTTTTACTTGTTGAGCACGAATATCGAGCTTTCGAAACTCGTTGAACTTTTGACCACACAGAAGATAAACCTATAGGAAAGATACTTTCCATTGCTTGATATTATTTCGAGCTTTCAGAACTTGTCGGAATTTCATGTATTCGATGGAAGAAAACGTATTGAAAAACTGATTTTGAGTGCTTGATATAATTTTGAAAACACAAAACTTCTGCAAAGTCTGAATTTTGAAAGATTTTCTATTGATATTTACTGATAATAGTGAAGTTATTTATACTCGATACATTTTCATGGGGTTCTTAGAAGAATATTTATCATTTACTGAATGCAATCAAGACAAAAATCAGCTTGCGTCCCTGATTAACACATAGTAATATAGAATTTGTAGCTTTGAACTATTCAAAAATATTTCTAAGCATTATTTTTGCCGTTTTATCATACACATCAGTGAATTTTGACACACTTTATTTATTAAACAAGTTCTTGCAATAAGATTTTGGATTTTAAAAAGATTTTAAATTCATTAAAACTGCTTTAAAAGGTTACTTAATCTTGTGAAAAATAATTTCTTAGCTAACAGACTATATTTAAAACAACAACAAAAAATGATCTGAGTACTTTCCTATATAGATGGAATGATGATTTTTATCGAAGAAGAATAGTACATTTTAAGTTGAGATACTCGACAGAAGTTCGTTAATCGTCAGTACCCATATTCGAAATTTTCTCTTCTGCACTTACTTAATTCATATCGACAACTCAAAAATGAGAATCAGAATGACAAAATTTTTAAAATTTTCTAAAATTTCAATATCCTCGAAGCCCTCTAGAAGGATGCTTCGATAGGCATTGGCGTTTCAGATCGAGTGTTCTGAGTGCCACTTTCCAATGGGTTGAGGGCTCAACAGAAGGTATAATATCTTCACTTACATTGACCCATCGGTGATTCAAATCAATGACTTGGAAAGTTCATTACAAACTCGATTCCGTCGAGTTTTTGTGATAAAGAATCATCAACGGAAGTTGAAGTCAGAAGCATGTGAAATTGTGTAGTTAATAACGGCTGCTCGATTCACTGTGTTAGCGGTTTTATTAGATCGATGTCTATGTAGCAGATTTATTTTTGAATATTGAAGGACATTTTTTTGTCTGAGGAATATATTGATGATTGAAGGGAAATTGTAATTGTGATTCTGACGCTCAATGTTAAGTGTCATGAGTTCTATTATATTCCAAACAATTGATCATTCAAATCTAAACAAATTTCACAAACATTGTCAGCAAGCGATGATATTCAAAATAAAAAAGAAATATTCTCCATCGTGTTTGCAGCCGCAAAAAATCGTAAATTCAATGTGGAAACACAAAACAGAAGATCCTCGAAAACAATATTCAGTGATAACTAACGCAATCCTCTAGATACTACTGAGATGGGTATACATAATAATATTTTCGTAGATATGATCCGAAGATAAATTTTGTTCCTAGCTCAAATGTTATGTTGCGGGCGACATAGAATAAATGAATAATTCAATATTTTTGTTAATATATTGTTTTGATTTCAATCTTTATTTTTTAACAATGATTCATCATTGAATTCTCGACAAGAATACATCAAAAGTTTAGTTGTACAAGTTCAAAGAGAAAATTTTCAGACAAACCATGGAATAGGAAGTAGTAGGATATTAAACCTTCAAACAAAAGCAACATTTGTGGATGATTGGTTAGTTGTCATTTATGTAGAACCACCGAACAGATTGATAGTTGCATTGCTGAATTATTTTTACAAATTTTGCAAAACGAAGAACTAAATAGTTGTGCCAGAAGATGGGGAACCATCATAGATTTAGTTGTACTTTGAAACGAAGTCCGTCATGGTATCATAACTATAACTAAAAAGATAAATGAAAATGGCTACAACGTTTAAAAACAAAAACAAGTTTTTGAAAATTGGGGATGTTAGACCTCTACAGTAATAAATCGTTCTTGACACTATTTAAGAAATGAATTCGTCGTGTAAACAGTCAAACTTGTGGCAGATAGAAATATTTAACTGGTCATTTCTTACAGGTTACTGGCTACAGTGAAGCAATTATTGAAAAATAATGAAGTACTATTCAATTAAAATTGAATTTTGAAGGTAACACAGATCCTACTATTTTGTCTTTAGTTGAAATCTTACGTATTTAGTTGAATTAACATATTGCAAAAGTGTTTAGCGAACAGCCTATGATTGTTGATAATAGACGATCACTGTGAGTTTTTATCAAGAAAGGAGAACTCTTTATTTTTGAGAATGCTCATATGTTTCTCAATAGGAGTGAATTTGAAATCTGAAACAATAGAAACTGTAGCTACTGAATAGATTGAATAATAGTATCTAACGAAGTGGTAATAATTGAGCATCGGTAGAAAAATATCTATTTCTGGATTTCATTTGAATTACAATGATGAAAGTATCGCAATCAATCTCAATTGGTGCTATCCTTTGATTCATAGAACATTCAAGACAATGTCATAATTACTCTTGATGCATAAGCCTATTTTCATTCTATTAGAAATGTTCAGAAATCGAATATCATCTTCAATTTTAGTCTGAGCAAACAAATGCATAATGTCGAATATACACGAAGTGCACACATAGAGAACGAGATCAATTATAAAACGAGAACAACATCATGTGCATTGATTCATCACATTCGAGGTTTCAAAGGGAAAAGAAGATAAAATTTCTTTCGATATGATATTTTTTGTCACTTACTGGATTATGTGTGAGAAGAAAGTAAGAGTGATGCGTCCTCTACTTTTGATGATGATTGAGAAATGAAAACTCAATCGAATTCCTTTTTTGTGAAAGAAAAGAGAAGCCCTTGGAAATTTGATCAACAACAAAAATCTTTCAATTATTCCTTATATATGTTAAATAGTAGTTATCGAATTTGACTAGAATCGATACACGCGACATGGATTGTTTTTTAACGTTGAACTATGACTTTGAAAGTGCTTTTCTCTTGGTCAAAATCGACTGTTGTGCAATTAGAAAACAATGAACTTTTTGCAGATACGACTAGATTCAAGTCAAAATGAGCAAACATCACAGTCACATTCATCGTCATGGTACTATATATTACAGATAAATGTTTCTATTTGTCTCCGCAGTCAATGTCAGTGTTCAGAATATTTCACAAGTGTGAAGTGTCAATTTGTCTAGTTAAATACACAAAAAAAGTATGCATTACGATGGTGAGTTCGAAATAGAAACTGCCACAGGGCACAATATAACAGGACTTCTAAATTGAGTATGCCTATTAAAAGATCCAAAACCTTCATAAAAAAGTATTTGATTACTTTCAAATTTAGTATCCATATTTTATTTATGTCATTTCGAAAGAACGCCACATTCAAACTTAGTGTGCAATTAAAAAGCAGCACCCTTGTAAAAACTCGAAAAAATATTTAATTTTAATCAGATTATTCAATTTTTAACGACTTCCAATCACGACATGAATGACAAACTTTTTTTCTGAAAGTTAAACTTGAAAATTTCAATTTCTTTTTTCTGGACTCCTTACTACGGCAAATAATAAGTGTAAGACTAGATCGTCAACCTTTGACACATCATATCTCAAGATACGATACTAATTGGTCGTTCAACGTGTAAACTAAAATGCCAGTAAATTAAATTCGTGCTCCACCGCCACGGAATAAAAAGTGATGATCTTCTATTACAGAAACTCGCTTCGCTCTTCCAAAAGCGGCCTTCTATTTTTTGGCTAGTTTTTTTGCTAACATTTACCTATAAAATCAAAGTTCTTTTAAAACAATTTTCTGACAGTCAATTATCAATGTTAAAAAACGGCTAAAATTCAAATTAAAATCGATTATTTTTGAATTAAACATTGATTGACATGATACTATTTTAACCTGATTTTAATAAGATTTTTCAGTCTTAAACAGAGCTGGGCAAGTCAAGTCAAGTCAAGTCTGACTTGACTTGTGACTTGAGAAACCTTCAACTTGTCCAGCTCTGGTCTTAAAGACAGATTTTATTTAGTTTTAATCTATTTTAATGAGTTTACAAACTTTAATCAATTTAAATCGATTTTAATCTGAATGTTAGCCTTTTTTTTCATTGATAGACGTTTTTAGCAACTAAGTATTGTAAAATACCAAGCTTATCACTAGATAAAACTAGTTTAACAGTAGTAAAGTAATTTTAATTATAAAGCAATTGTCTTTTACTAAAAAAACAGGTTATTATGTGCTCAGGTTAAAAAATCTACAGTAATTCTGAAAAAAAAAGAAACCCATTACCTTGTTTTACGCCGTTAAAATTATCCTGTAGGCAACTCTTCAATATAAGATGATATTTTATTCGTCGTGGATGTTAGAATAAAGTCGACTATTTTCCAATAGAGGCGAATACAGCCTGGTCTTCAGGTTGAAAAGCAACTTTTCATTAAATTTTCTTAGTTAAAATTATTTTTTAATACATATAAACTTGTTCAGCTTTTTGAGCAAGAAAGACTTTTGATATGAAGACTTCTTGAGGTATGCACCAGAAAAATAAATTTAACTGGAATACTAGTCAGTATTAATCTAAGTAATAAAGTTTAATCGATTAAAAATTATTTTTTTTAAATCAATTTCCCTCGATCAAAACAGATTAAACATTGAATAATTTGATTCAGATAGAATTAGAATATTATCAAATTAATCGATTGTTAATCAAAAAAATTCAAATAGAATTAGGTTTTTTTAAAAATCTTTTTAGGCACAGAGCAATCCTGTTCTGTGATGACCTCTGGTCAGGTCATTGAAATTGAACTAGATATTGCTCTATCGACCTACTAGGTTTTAACAATGAAATCGAAACCAATTCGATAAAGCCCAAAGTGTTCATGAAACAATTATTTGAACATAAGTTATAGTTAGAAAATTTGAAGAAATGCAATCATTATATCATACGAGAAGTTTAGAAGCATTAATTTGATGAATAGATGAATAGAGAACATTTTGAGACTAAGCACAAATTTCTTCAATGAAAGCTAGCCAAGAACAGCACGAGATACAAATAGTTGAACTTTTTTCTGTTGTATCCCTTAATAGTATTCCTCAAATGCTGAATGAACGTTAAATCGAGTTCATCAACATTATATTTATTCTAATCATGAATAAAAGAGAAAATGTGCTATTCAAATTGATATGTCTTTCGAGCTAAATCATTCATATCGATTGAGTATCGAAATCAATCCTCTTAAGACTATAAATGCGATAAATTATTGGATGGGATGCTATCTTGAAGCTATCATGAAAATTATTTTCTGATTCTGTCTTAATTTCTATTCTACTTGAATGACAATATTTATATTTTCACTCAGCGCTCTTTAAAAAACTTCCGAGCCAACATAATAGAGATAGCCATGTTTTTGTCTTTTGTACGATCTTCAGCGAGGTTGACGAAAAACTCCCGAATATTCTAAAAATCCAGCACAGCTCTCCTGAATATCTGTTCTTAAATATATGTATACCCTACTGCATAGGTGCTTGTTTCAATACCATCTATACCTCGTATGCTTTGATGAAAATCTCAATCAAATGTATTTTTGAACATTGTATTTCGTATCTAATTGAAAGACACGATTCAATCTGATTTGATTCGTCGCGAAAAGATGATTTGTTAACAGTAATGATACACCATTCACTTTATCATAGATTTTACTCACACTGTGATGTGTCCTCAAGAAGAAAAATGATAGCATCTGAATTAAATCAATTATGTAAAGTATAAAACACAACTAGATTTTCATGCCATAATCATTCTTGCTTCCAATGAGTTGTATCACCCGTTTGATATAGCAAAATTATCTGAATAAAATTCGTTGAAACTTGATGTAGATGCTTCGATTTTCTTAATTAACATATAAAATTGTTGAAATCAAATTCATTGATTTGACTTTGTATCTGAAATCATGAAATATATTACCTTCTTGATTCTGAGTTTGACATTTTCATCAGAGTTTTCATTGAAAATGAGAAAGAAAATTTTTTTTTTGAAAAATAAACGAACATGGAATGTTTTGAGTTTTATCGTTCTTCTGTTGTATTAAAAACTGAAGAAATGCTTCCAAAGATAAAAACAAAATATTGATCTATGACAGTTGCTGTAAGAACTGAGAAAACAAACATAAAAAACGAATTTAAATAGATCTAATCATTAAAATATTGCAACGTGTCGAATGAAATAGACTGAATTTCCAACGAGACTATTTTAGTTATAACTTGACTGTTGACTGAACGACAATTAGGATTACAGAAAAAGAAATTAATTGATTGCTGACACGCCAGCTTGTTATCAATGCATTTTTTAAGTGACTTTCACTACAATATAACGACAGTTACACAATTGATGTCTGAAGTAACACCCTCTGTTCGAAAGGTTGTTGTTGATTGATCAACCATTTGCAAAAAGAAATGGCAGATCATTTTCATTTTTTTCCAATTCACGGTTCATAATTAGATATAATGAATATAAGTTGTTGAATTCCATCGTATTTGTAGAACACTCACGACAGGGTAAAACAACTAAACAAATATTCATCTGATAGAAGAACATTCTCATCAAATCAAGGAATGTATTGAGAATTGCTGTTGATCGAAAAATGGTTCAACAATAAGAATTCGATATTAGACAAATGTTAGACTATTTTGAGCTTTCAGAATATTTCATTAGGCAAAACGAGAAACAATTTTAAAAAAATGCTTAGAATATCATCAACCAAGTATTAGTCTCGACAAGAAATTGTTTGATGAATTCAAACATTTGATTTCATCATAGTCGATCTTTCAATAATTCTCTATCGTTAAAATTTCGATATGCGAAGAATTAGTATGATAAATATTGACCAATTTCAAAAGTCGACTTCTCATTGAACAAAAAAACTCAAGTGACAACTTGAGATGTTCATTTGTTTCCATCGTCATATTTCAAACTCGATGACATAGATTTGAGATGCAAAAAGAAATTTTAGGGATATGATACTTTTCAAAGTAAGATAACGAAATGAAAGTATTTACTATTTTGCAATGGGAACATTCATTATAACCGTTTACTTCACTATGATAAATAAGCAATGATGTTGCCGATATATCGCAACCGGCTACGATCAGATAAACGCGTACTATTTTTTCAATATTAAAAGATGAATTAATTGGATTATAAAGAAGACCATTAATTTCAAGATAAACAAGTTCTTTCACGAAATCATTTTAAAAAATCTGCATTTCATCTTTTTATGGTTTTGATGAACCAACAGATATCGTCCCAGCAATTAATTTTTCTCGATTAAATCTAATAGAAGATGGAAGTTCATTTATCACAAATGTAGTAATCCAAATAGATCGAGAAATACATTTTACTACAGCATCATCAGAACTCATTAAGAGTGATAAAACGATTTGATTCAGCATGTACTAGTTTTCGATAAAATGGAGAATCAACAATATCAGTAATAACACATTCATCATTCTCTGGCTTAATTAAATCATTGCGTTCAAGAATAGCTCTTATTTGAGGTTCAATACGAAGAATGTGATTTATTGTTGTATTTTATAATACACTTATCTTTACTGATACATGTTGGAGATGATGTGCAATACATAGAATTCGATGAGATTTTATAATAAGATAGACATGAAATTGGAGATTTTCCAAAAATAGTTGTTTGGTAAGGATTACATATAAGAGAAGGAACGTGACGCAAAATTAGATGGAGCATTCGAAATATGAAGTAGTTTTAAAAGTTTGCAAATATTCGATATACATGTATTAGTTAATGAATGACGTGATTTCAAAAGAGACAGAGCAAGTGCAATTTCTATAGATGTAAATTGGCGATCAGTAGTCTTTACAATTGTTCAATGATTCGTCCTCATCATGATCCGCTACTGCATCAGATGATTCTTCATCATCACTATCCATTAATGATTTTTCTTTATTCATATCTTCATCGACATTATCACATGTATTATGATCTTCTACGAACTCTTCGTCAGCATGAATTTCTATTGAGTTTGATAAAAGAGATGATTATTGATTTACTTCTAATCGAGCTGCATGATAGGTTTTAATTTCCGTACTAAACTTGCATTCTGTAACATTGATTTGTATATCGCATATATTTATTGATCCCAAGGATAAGGATAAACTAATATTATCAATATCTTCACCATTATCTTGTTGTACTTGAATAGATCCGAAAGATATTAGTGTAGAGACTGTTGCAGCTGGTTGATAAACAAGAGAACTATTAAAATAAAAGATCAATGATGGTAATAGTTCTGCAGGTCCAAAATAATAGATATTTTCACTTTATATATGAAACAACTGTTTCTAAAGTTATTTATCTTCAAATATGAGCTAAACGTCAATGGTTACGTCGCTACGAAGAGCGACAGACTGTATCGATATTCTTATGTGAATGAAATATAATGTGTGAGTATATAAAAATATTATCACCAACAAATTTTTTGTCTTGCAATAGTTAATAACTTTATTTTTAATGCAAAGGTGGCTCAGATCATGCAAGCCTTTCGCATATGTTCTAACTAAGTTTTAGACGAAAATATACATTTTCGTTTATCACATGTTTAGTCCTTTTTTCGAAATACTTTTTACTAAATATGTAAATATTATTAATAAGTTCCATATTTTATTGAATTAGTTAATCATGGATACTAGAAAATACACATCTAACTGTTCAAAAAAATGAAGATGAAAATCGAAATGACAAAATAAGACAAAAGGAGAACACATACGATGAAACATTTTAATACATATAAATCGCCTTTTCTTTTTTCTTTCACAAGCCTTTTTCACAAAAAAAAAAACAAAGTAATTATATGTACATTTAGTGCATAAAAACACTTGTGTTGTCGAAGAAAAAAATAAAAGAAAAACGACAACAATTCAATTTTAACTCATTCATAGTTAATATAAACGAATTTGTGTCATAAATTCGATCAACAGCAAAGCAAAAAAAAAAGCAACAGTAAAATGAGATTAAGAAACAAAAAAAAACGCAAATGTTAAATAAACAAAAATAGTTCATATACAATCTTCTTTCACTTATAAATTACAATCAGTTCTCAGTAACAAAACTATCTAGTTCTTTTTCTTTTTCATACCTTGCATCAGTACTTTTCATCATTCATTCGCTTATGACGAGATTCATCTTGAACTTTCATTTGATTACGATTTTTTTTGCGACGAGCTGCATTATGAATCATTGAACTTTGAGCCTTTCGCCAACGAAACCGGGCACCCCGAATACTGCTATTCAAAGTATTCTGTAAATCTCGCATTTTGTAGATTGTACCTGGTGATGATCGTTGAGCAAAAGCTAAGGAAAAAAATAAATGATTAAATGAAATAATTATTTTATTTTTAGCCCTCATTCTTAAGAGTCATACCTAAAATCGTTTCCAAAAGACCAGGTTTTTTTATTTTCAGTTTCTTTGTTGAACCTAATTGAGCTTTAGTTTCATATCCAGGATAAATATGATTGAAAAGATTCAATACTGTTTCTTGAGGAGTATCACCTTTTAAACCCATTAAGAAAGTTGTATCTTCGCCTAGATCAGATGCTAATTGATCATCACTTCGTGAATCTTCAAGTCCACTTGATTGTTTGATTAAGGTAACCAAATCTACTAGAAAATTGAGTGCAGGTGCAGGAGGACGAGCTTAAAATACAGAGTAATATAGATGATAGAGAAAAAAAACTTCATACGAAAGGAGTTTGCTTTCAATTGTTCATAATCATTTTTAAGAGAAGCAAATTCTTTTCGCAAATTTGAACATTTCTTTTGTTCTTCCTGGTAAGCCTTTACTAAGCAAAGAAAGTCGGGAAAACTGGATAAAGTGTCATATATATCACATGAAATAGTATCGACAGAAAATGAATTATTAAAAGCATCAGCAAAACCATTACTAATTTGATTATGATGAGGAGGTCGAATAGGTGTAGCCGATGTATGATTGAAATTTAGATCTTCCTCTGAGTTTCGTCGACGTCGATCATCCGAAGCAATGATATGAAAATTTGATGATTGTGATCGAATACTCAATTCACATTGATTTTCGGTTGATTGATCAATGGAAGGTGTTCTGCAAACAAAACAAAATCTATGTCAATTCTTGAATATCCCGCTACGTTAAATTTCGACAGTCCAGCAAAGATTTAATATGAATTTTTCTTTATTCCATCGTTAAGAAGAGACATATGTTACTTAACCAAAAAAAAAAGATTACTTCTCAATGTTTCGTAATATGAAAAAAGAAATAACAGGAACTCATTTTTCACTACAATAGTCTTTAATTTAAAAAACTTGATATATTTTTACAGTTTTTCCCATAGTCTGCAATACTTCTCTATAAATAAAGTATACTTAAGACGTAGTGACTGTATTCTTTTATACATTGATATGGATACATAGATATTGATTACGAGGCATTACAGACTACTTTTATTCATTTAGTCACTATATCAGCTTTTCATGATCGAAAATTTTGTTTCTGTTGAAACTATAAATATTACCTTTTTGAAGACAAGATTTTCTTAATGCTAGTGTCCTATTTCTAATAAGTAAAATAACACCTTACCGATTTTCTTCGGGTAAGCACTCTTTATTCGACTGATTGATAATGTCCAAACGATTTTCATTAGATATACAACGTGCTCGATTAATTGATAAATAATTTTGTGTTTCATAATCACCATTAGCTGTTCGATTTGACACACGTTCTTCAACTGATTCACTTCTTCGAGCATAGTCAGACATAATCGATTGAGATGAATCTGTTTCTTGACTAGTATCAATGACAAGTGGTGGTGGTGGTGAATTTTCAAGTTCATTGAAGTTTCCATGTTGATTAAGTGAAACAGTTTCCAATGTTGTAAATGTAGGTTCATCAACTAAAACAAAAATATTAACGAGATATTTAGAAAGTAAAATACTACTAGAATTATCAATAACACCTTGTTCATCAAATAATAGCTTATTTGCACCTGTAATCTTAGTACGATTACGTTTTTTAACAGGTAAATCACTTTCATGTACATCTGTATCATCACTTCTTTTATTCAGAAGACGTGATTTTCGTTTATTCATAATCAAAAATATTATTTTTAATACAAATAATAAGTTGAAAATTGTTATACTGGATAAACGATAATGGTAAAAAATAGTTGTATTAAACAGCAAAGATGAATCTAAAACAGTCAGTGGTGATATAGACGATACGTGTTTGTGTTGTTTCCAATCAGACTATTAATGATATACACAAACATGATAAGTGTTGTATTTATACTTCACTGAAGAGCAAGCGAAAAAGAAAATAAAAGAGAGAAGGAGAGAGAATAAAAGAAAGAGGCAGAGAGAATAAAAGAAATGAAGAGCTGGATGAATATTACATATTAGAAGAAATCATATAAGATAGTGACGAATTCACTCTTTTACTTGGCCAATACGGACGATAGACATATGAATCTCTCTTCATTTGATATAGAAGGACAAATGCAATTATTCTTCATTTGGAAGAGAGAAAGAAAAGCAAAATTATTTCAAAGGTCTATAAACGAAATTATCAGGCACTGTGTATCCATGAGAAAACGTACACTGTTTCATTCGTTTAGAAACCGTATTTAGTCACAAATCGACAGTTTATAAATTTCATAAACTTTGCTTCAGAAAGTATAAGAAAATTGAAAATATCACATTTTCATTAGTACCTGTCTAATGTCCTGACGAATACAATATATATTTCTTGTTATCTAGCATACCATAGGTAGAACCAACGCTTCACGAGATATTTGCCCATTCCTGTTAGTGATCGCATCCATCAATATAATCGATGTTTTCGGTCTCATTGTCTCTGTCCCGTGTAGTCAGAAATATGAAATTGACCCGATAATCCAGTTCCTTATTTTTTTTTATTCAACGTGTTGTGCATAGTCAAAAAAATGTCCGGAAAACGCGTTTTAACACAGCGCTTTTTCTTTTACTTCAAACACGTTATAATAGCATTTAGAAAAAAATTTTTTAACACGTTTTCATGCAAAACGCATTAAGACTCGTAATTTCGGACATTTTAAACTGTGTACAATGCGTTTCAATGGAGAACAATCTACTGCGTTGATAGAAACAACGCATTCAACCTAGCGAAAAATAAATATAATCCACATACCTTAATATTACAAGCAATATTAAAATACAGTATTTATTAGTAAATAAAAGATACCAAACAACATTGATTCGAAGAAGGTCAGGAATTGAAGAGCATACAACAATAGTGTAGTTTCATTTCTTTTCAGAGAATAAATTTATGGACATGTAAATGTAAATATCGAGTAATAGTGTTCTAGCGAATGTTTTTGTATACTTTATTTTATCGTTCAAATAATAATAATCATTTACAAGAAAAACTAATTCAAACGTTGAGGATCTGATCTATTATAAATTTAATGTATCAGATCTTGCTTATTCACTAAGAGAGATTTCTTCAAAATTTCGAAAATAAAATAAAACATACAAAGAAAATTCGCTAGAAAGCTATTACTTTATTATTTATATTTACATGGTTATGAATCAATTCTTTGAAAAGAAACGAAACTACATTACCGTTGTATGCTCTTTAACTACTCATTTTCTTCGAATTGATGTTATCTGGTATCTTTTACTTACTAGTAAATTCTATATTTTAATATTGATTATAATATGAAAGTATGTGGATTATATCTATTCTTCCCTAGTCTTAACCACAGTTCCTACCAGAGACCGTCACAAGGCAGGGCAGGACAAAAACAACTGCCCTGTGGCAATAAAAAGAAATTTCAAAAAAAATCTGATTCCATTAGAATTTTTCTGATTGAAAACTGATTCATTTGGTACTATTTTAATTCTACTTCAAGCAAGTTGTTTAAAGTTCAATTCGTTTTGATCGAATGAAACTGATTAAAAAAGAAATAATTTTTAACCGATTAACTTTTATTAATAGCTTAATGCTAATTGGCATTCTAGTCAAACTTGTTTTTCTAGTGCATATCTCAAGAAGCCTCCATATCAAAATTCTTTTTTGCTTTAAAAGCTCAAGAAGTTTATACGTATCAAAAAATAAGTTTAACTAAGGGAACTCAATGAAAAGTTGCCTTTCAATTTGAAGATCAGAGTTTATTCCACTCAATTGGACAATAGTCAACTTCAGTCTAATCCCCACGCCAAATAAAATATCAACCCGTTTTAGAGGATCTCTCATAATAAAATTTCAAAAGCATAATAGAAGGTAATGGATTTCTCAAAATTTTCTTTTTTGGAAATTCTGTGAATTTTTTTAGACTTAGCACAAAAAAACCTGCGTTTTGTGTATAATATCATTGTTTTATAATTAAAATGGCTATTGATATTAAACTGTTATATCTAGTGAAAATCTTGGTATTCTACAATACTTAGTTGTTAAAATCGTCTACCTATGAAAAAAAGGCTAAAATTCAGATTAGGATCGACTATTTCTGGACTATGAACCGATTAAAATACCACTGTCTTAATATGATTTTAATCAGATTGTTCGTCCTTACGGACAGCTGTCATTTGATGTCAATCTTTTTACTCTATGTTGATCGATTATAAAAAACAAATCAATTATAACTGATTATTAGAAATCGATTAAAATGGATTAAAGTTTATTAAGCAATTGAAATCGATTTTAAAAGATAAAAGGTGCATGAAATATTTCATTTAGACTGAAAAATCTGATTAAAATCAAATTTAGATAGCATCGTTCCAATTAATTATCAAGCCAAGAATAATCGATTTTAATCTGATTTTCAGCTCCCTTTTTTTTACACGGGTAATCGAGTCTTCGAAATTTTTTTCAATAATCTTTTATTTTATAGCCATATGTTAGCAAAAACCTAGACCAAATTAGAAGGACACTTTTGGATGAGCGATGTGAATTTTAATAATAAAATTTCATCACTTTTTATTTCGTGAGAGGCGGATGAAGAGCTGAATTTACTAGTATTTAGTTTACACGCTGAATTACCAATTATTATCGCACCTTGAAGCATAATATGTCAAAAGTTACCCTAGTGTAAAACTTACCATTCGTCGTAGTCACGAGTATAGAAAAAAAACTCAAAATTTTCAACTTTAACTTCCAGAGAAAAAGTTTTTCATCCATCTAGCGATTAAAAACGGTTAAAAATTGAATAATCTGATTAATACAGTAACATTTTAATCACTTTTTAAACAGAGCAGATTCATTAAGATTAGATGATTTTCCGAGATTTTACAAGGCTGCTGCTTTTTAGTCAGTGATGCTTTTTAATAGCATAACAAACTTCGTTGAGGCATTCTCCCGAAATGACATAAATAAAAAATATCGATACTGAATTTGAAAGCAATCACATACTTTTTATGAAGGTTTTAAATCTTGTAATAGGCATAATCGATATAGAAACCTTGCCTTGCCCTCCCCAAGGCAGGACAGGGCATAAAAAATATGTCCTGTAATGGTCACTGGAGTAGACAGGGGCGGCAATTATTGAATTAGTTACTTGAACGGTTATCAACGAGTAGAACAATATTCATTGGTCACTTACTTTCCAGTATCAACGATGTTCATCATTCAATTATGATCAACAAAAACAACAATTTGATTAGAATTAATTTTATAGACGATTATTTTTCTCCTGTGGTCGTCTAATGGTGCTTTTGAATGAATTATTTTTGAACACAACAAGTTTTTGTAGCTTAGCTTGTTAATAAGACTCTATCGAATATACTGACAAAAGTTTGGAAAAATACTTTGCTTCATAATTTTCAATGCCATTCTCTCACTGGATTCATTCATTTCTGGTAGTTCAAGCATGATTCTATCGCTACTAAGAACTCATGTACTTGGATATTTTGCACAATTGCACCTATTTTCAAAAGAAAAATGAAGAATATAAGTGCTGTAATTAGAAGTGATAAAAAAGATTACATTTGTTTTATGAAGGCTATTCGATAGACTTTTATTAGTGACTGTAAAAGTTCAACAATAACAAAAATGCATTTTTGAACGGAGATAGACCTAGATGAAAATTCTCAAAAAATATTGAATGCAGTAAAATATTGATAACTCTTGAGTTCGATCAAAAAATTAGTGGTGATTGTTTAAAGTGATGTTCATATTGAGCAATTCTAATTTAAAAGTAATGTAGAAAAGGTAGTAAACAATTTCTAGCAAAGTGTAATGCTTTTTTTTCTAGCACATATGTCCCGCATGTTTCTTCTGAGAATGGATGAAAAAAATATTTCATAATAAACTAATTCATAGTGTTCCTTGTGTACTATCAAATAGTACTAGAAACTAACAGAAATAAATGAATCCTATTGAAAATTATAAGAGCAAGTTGTCTTTTTTTCAAATTACTATGTATTAGTCGCATATCTAGCGTGTAATCTTCTCTTTGGCATAGATACAATTTCAAGCTCGCTATGTAATGAAAATGACGGAACTATTCAACTGATTGATCATAGTCTACATCGAAACGAACCATATTGGCAATTGTCTTTTCAAAAATAATCTCATTCAAATTCGGTGAACGTCATCTTACTTCGTTTGGAATCTACACATATATTTCAATGATTGGTAACAAAGCAGATTAATTACAGGGTCATTCGAACTACAAAGGCAAGGCTAAAATCGCGAAAATTCTGTTTCTGTCAGAATTTCTCACGAGACTATCAAAAGATCTTGGAGAAAGTTTGAAATTTCTTCGGAGAGAAAAGTCTTATTACTCCATCCGTAATCGAAAATCCTTGCTAAAATTCAATGAAAATCAGGATATCGAATTAGATATTAAGCTTTGAGAAACGACAAGTTACACAAATAAAAACACATTTTCTTTTTGGAGAACAGCATATTCAATAGTAATTGTTTTTCCTCTTCCTTTCTGATAGATGAATGCAATAGGAAATAAATGGAGTGGAGTACCACGGGGATCTTTGACTCCGAATCGCCAAACAAAAGTTCTTCGGAGTCGGAGATATAACGTATTCCTCTGACAAAGTTTTTCTTTTTTTCACATCCTATGTAAAACAATTTGACAAAATATCAGATTGAAATT